AGCGGGGTCATTTACCAGATCACATTCTCTTTGAATAGCACAGCTACTCTGTCATGTTTGAGCTGAAGACCCTGTGACACAGGAACATTGTGTACTTCAATACTCTGTGCTAAATTCTTCCTACAAATACACCACAATGTTGATAGGGAACATCAACAAAGCATAGAATTTGGATTTAGCACATCTGGGTTCCTTTCCTGGCTTTTGTCACACACCTTTTGTCACTCATAGATACTAAGGTCAGAAGGGACCATTATGATCATCTAGTCTGACCTCCTGCACAACGCAGGCCACAGAATCTCACCCACCCACTCCTGCAATAAACCTCTCACCTATCTCTGAACTATTGAAGTCCTCAAATCATGGTTTAAAGACTTTAAGGAGCAGAGAATCCTCCAGCAAGTGACCCGTGCCCCATGCTACAGAGGAAGGCGAAAAACCCTCAGGGCCTCTTCCAATCTGCCCTGGAGGAAAATTCTTTCCCGACCCCAAATATGGCAATCAGCTAAACCCTGAGCATGTGGGCAAGATTCACCAGCCAGATACTACAGAGAATTCTTTCCTGGGTACCTCAGATCCCACCACATCTAACATCCCATCACAGGCCATTGGGCCTATATACCATGAATATTTAAAGATCAATTAATTGACAAAATCATGTTATCCCATCATACCATCTCCTCCATAAACTTATCGAGTTTAACCTTGAAGCCAGATAGGTCTTTTACTCCCACTGCTTCCCTTGGAAGGCTATTCCAAAACTTCACTCCTCTGATGGTTAGAAACCTTCGTCTAATTTCAAGTCTAAACTTCCCAATGACCAGTTTATATCCATTTGTTTCATAGATACTAAGGTCAGAAGGGACCATTATGATCATCTAGTCTGACCTCCTACACTATGGTGCTAATAAGCGACGGTCACATAACCACCACCCTACACCGGAAACCTACTGACTGCTAAACTTACCTACATGCCTCCAGCTTTCATCCAGACCACACACCACATGATCCATTGTCTACAGCCAAGTTCTACGATACAACCGCATTTGCTCCAACCCCTCAGACAGAGACAAACACCTACAAGATCTCTAGCAAGTGTTCTTACAACTACAATACCCACCTGCGGAAGTGAAGAAACAGATTGACAGAGCCAGAAGAGTACCCAGAAGTTACCTACTACAGGGCAGGCCCAATAAAGAAAACAACAGAACGCCACTAGCCATCACCTTCAGCCCCCAACTAAAACCTCTCCAACGCATCATCAAGGATCTACAACCTATCCTGAAGGATGACCCATCACTCTCACAGATCTTTGGAGACAGTCCAGTCCTTGTTTACAGACAGCCCCCCAACCTGAAGCAAATCCTCACCAGCAACCACACACCACACAACAAAAACACTAACCCAGGAACCCATCCTTGCAACAAAGCCCGTTGCCAACTGTGTCCACATATCTATTCAGGGGACATAGGGCCTATTCACATCAGCCACACTATCAGAGGCTCGTTCACCTGCACATCTACCAATGTGATATGTACCAGCAATGCCCCTCTGCCATGTACATTGGCTAAACTGGACAGTCTCTACGTAAAAGAATAAATGGACACAAATCGGACGTCAAGAAGTATAACATTCAAAAACCAGTCGGAGAACACTTCAATCTCTTTGGTCACTCAATTACAGACCTAAAAGTGGCAATTCTTCAACAAAAAAACTTCAAAAACAGACTCCAACGAGAGACTACTGAATTGGAATTAATTTGCAAACTAGACACAATTAATTTAGGCTTGAATAAAGACTGGGAGTGGATGTGTCATTATACAAAGTAAAACTATTTCCCCTTGTTTATTTCCCCTCCTACTGATCTTGTAAAGTACTGGAAATGGCCCACCTTGATCATCACTACAAAAGGTCTCCCCTCTCCCCCCCCTCCTGCTGGTAATAGCTCACCTTTCCTGATCACTCTCATTACAGTGTGTATGGTAACACCCATTGTTTCATGTTCTCTGTGTATAAAATCTCCCCACTATATTTTCCACTGTATGCATCCGATGAAGTGAGCTGTAGCTCACGAAAGCTTATGCTCTAATAAATTTGTTAGTCTCTAAGGTGCCACAAGTACTCCTTTTCTTTTTAAGGATACAGACTAACATGGCTGTTACTCTGAAACCTGAACCAAGATTGTCCCCTACAACCATTTCTTCTTTGAGGTCCTCACTACTCACCAAAACCAAATCTAAAACAGCATCCCCCCTAGTCAGTTCAGCAACTACTTGATGAAGGAATCCATGAGCTATCGCATCTAGGAAAATCTGAGCCCTATTATTATTACTAGCACTCGTCCTCCAGTCTGTATCTGGGAAGTTAAAGTCTCCCATGATCACACAGTTTCCATTAAAAACATTAAAGAGGGCTCTATCCATATCCAAATTAGATCCCGGCGGTCTATAGCACACCCCAAGCACTATCCCAGGGGAGGCTCTAGTAGTTTTCTTCCCCAATGTAATTTTTGCCCAGACGGACTCTGTCTTATCCATTCCATCACTTCTTATTTCTTTACATTCTACCTCATCATTGATATACAACGCTACTCCACCACCTTTACCTTTATTTCTGTCTTTCCGAAACAACACATACCCTTCAATACCCGTAGTCCAGTCATGACGACTATTCCACCATGTTTCCGTTACCCCTATATCATCTGGTTTTACTTCCTGCACCAGTTGCTCTAGTTCCTCCATTTTGTTACCTGGGCTCCTCGCATTGGTGTACAAACATCTTAATTTTTGCTGTTTGGCCTCGCTCACATTCTGTACCCAATGAGGCATGGTCATTCTACAGCCAGCATAACCTATTAGACTGGTATTCACACTGCCCTTCCTCCTTATATCCATTCTCCTACCCACGGCTGTATCCTTTCTTACTTTGTTTTCTTCACTCTCAATGCATGGATCAAAATCCGGCATGGAGATTACCTGGACATCTCCCAACCATCTCCCCCAAATTCCTAGTTTAACGCTCTCTTAATCAGTTGTGCCAGCCTCCATCCTAGAAGTCTATTTCCTTCCCTACTCAGATGAAGTCCATCCTAAGAGAACTGTCCTCTGTCCATGAATGTCTCCCAGTAGCCATACATCCCAAAGCCCTCCTTATAGCACCACTGTCTAAGCCATCTATTGATGGTCATAATCTTGTCACACCTTTGTTGCCCTTCTCTAGGAACAGGCAAAATCCCACTAAAGATCACCTGAGCCTCAATTTCCTTAAGCGTCTTCCCCAACCTAGCATAGTCTCCCTTAATACTTTCCAGCGAGAATCTAGCCGTATCATTTGTTCCCACATGAAGGATAATTAGGAGATTCTTTTCCGCTCCCTTTAGGATCCTTTTCAACCTCAGGTCTACATCCCGTATCTTAGCACCTGGAAGACAGCACACCCTTCTATTCTCTGGATCAGCTCTGGTTACAGGCCTGTCTATTCTTCTCAGTAAAGAGTCCCCGATCACAGAGACCTATCTTTTCCTGGTGACGGTACTATTCTCCAGTCTATCCCCTGTTCCCTGTGGCTGCAAGTTCTTTCCATTCCTATTCTCCCTTGCAATCCTCTTCAACCCATCCTGTATCCTCCTGGGGCTCATATTTGGTGTAGTCTCCATTGACTCTTCCCCTTTTCCTACAGGACTAGCCGCTCTTCTCTTCTTCCTTGCCCTTCCACCTTCAGTGACTACCTGCTGAGCCCCTTCTTCATTTTCCAACTCTACAAACCTATTCTTGAGCTCTATTTCTCCTTCACTAGCCCGTCTTTTCCTTTGCCTGGTTCTTTTAGTCACATGCTTCCACTGACCACTTTCCTCACCCAGCAGTCTCCCCTCAGAATTCCTCAGTCCTGCTTCCATCTGCAAGTCAGAGCTTTCCACTTCAGACACCTCATGTCTTCACTCCATAATCTGCCCAAACCCCTTCTAAACTCAACCAGACTTTCCACCTGCATCTCCAAACCTTGGATCTTTTCTTCCATCAGCTCTATCAGACGGCATTTCATGCATACAAAACTCTTACCAGGTACCCCCCTCCAAGATCACGTACATACCGCAGCTTCAACATCCAGTCATCTTCATTGTCTCTTCCACTGTATGGGTCACTCCCACTGCTGCCTCTGTATCAGTTATAGCCTTCCCACCTAAATCCTGTTAATCTGGGAAACACAAACCACACCACCACCCACAGCAAAAACAAACCCCAAACAAGCACCACAAGACAAACTCCCCTTTCAAACTCCCACTGAAACTCCCCTGTTTACAGCTCTGTTTGCTGCTCCTGTGCCGCTACACCTTTATGTGACCCCAGATTCCGCATATGAACAAAACCCACTATACACAAATACAAGTCTGTTTAAAAGCAATTTGATTTACACTTGTTTTCTTCCTTTGTTAGAACAGAGTTTTGTTTGAAAACACGGTGGTTGTTTTTTAAAAAGACATTCATCTGTTTCTGTCTCTTGCTCCCGAAGTCATGACCCTGCTCAGGATTGTGAGTTCAATCCTTGAGGGGGCCATTTAGGGATCTGGGGCAAAAACTGGGGATTGGTCCTGCTTTGAGCAGGGGGTTGGACTAGATGACCTCCTGAGGTCCCTTCCAACCCTGATATTCTATGATTCTATGACATGACAATGATTTCTATAGCAGCCACTCATAATGTTACAATCTTGATTCTGAATGTATTAAAACTGACACAAGTAATGTTAAAGGCTCCATGTTATATGCAGTTTACAAAATAAAATTATGATGGAAATAAAACCACGCTCTGAAAAATATTGCTGTTATAAAGCTCGCTTCACATGTGCAATGAAACAAGCACTTATCGACTGGATGATATTTCAAACCTCTACAATAAACATTAAATTTAAGATTGTGTACAACTAATATAACTTATTACAAGGCAATTTATTTTCTAGGCTGGTATCTAGCAAAGCAGATAGTCACTGTTACTAGTCAACTTACTTAGCCTCTTAGCAGCCTCCAGGGCATCATTTGCAGAGTCAGCCACGAAGAATCTCTGAACTGTAACCCCATTGTCTGCCATCAGTTTTTTACTCTGGTATTCCTGCAGGTTCAGCCATCGTCTCGGGGTTAATTGAACAGCCTCCAGAAATAAGGAGAAACAACAAAATGCTCATTATGAACCGTTCATGCAACAGTCAACTGAACTATTAAGCCTCAAACTAACAACAAACAAAATTATTTAGGAGAAAAGGAAGAATGTGCATCATTTTAGGAAAATGCCATCTCAACATGTGCGGCAAACACATTCTGACACCTATCAAAGATACTAAAAGGCTGCACAAGGCTCACAGGGTGATCTTGGTTTGATGTGTGTGTCTCATTTAAAATCAACACAGGTTTGCAAATTTCCTTGGTTTGATTTCTACAGTATATTTATGGTTTTATGCATTTCTGTGCTACCTAAAAAGATAATAAAATTGTTACATTAATAAAAATATTCTTTGCTTTAGTTTAAAGTCCATAAGATACAAACAATACGTTTCTCAGACACTATATACACACTTTTCAGAGGGGTAGCCATGTTAGTCTCTATCAGCAAAAACAACGAGGAATCCTTGTGGTACCTTAGAGACTAACAAATTTATTTGGGCAAAAGCTTTCGTGGGCTACAACCCGCTTCATCAGATGCGGGGAGTAGAAAGTACAGTAGCAGATATATATATATATATATACACACACACACAGAGAGTACATGAAAAGATGGGAGTTGCCTTACCAAGTGGGCGGTCAGTCTAACGAGACAATTCAATTAACAGTAAAATACCAAGGGAGGAAAAAATCACTTTTGTAGTGGTAATGAGGGTGGCCCATTTCAAACAGTTGACAAGAAGGTGTCAGTAACAGTAGGGGGAAATTAGTACGGTAACATCAGTTTTTCTAATGACCCATCCACGCCTAGTTTTTATTCAGGCCTAATTTGATGGTGCCCATTTTGCAAATTAATTCCACTACTGCAGTTTCACGTTGGAGTCTGTTTTTGAAGTTTTTTTGTTGAAGAATTGCCACTTTTAAGTTTGTTATTGAGTGACCAGGGAGGTTGAAGTGTTCTCCTACTGGTTTTTGAATGTTATCATTCCTGATGTCAGATTTGTGTCCATTTATTCTTTTGAGTAGAGACTGTCCGGTTTGGCCAATGTACATGGCAGAGGGGCATTGCTGGCACATGACAGCATATATCACATTTGGTAGATGTGCAGGTGAACGAGCCCACTGATGGTGTGGCTGATGTGGTTAGGTCCTATGATGGTGTCCCTTGAATAGATATGTGGACAGAGTTGGCACCGGGGTTTGTTGCAGGGTTTGGATACTGGGTTCGTGTTTTAGTTGTGTGTTGTGTAGTTGCTGGTGAATATTTGCTTCGGGTTGGGGGGCTGTCTGTCTGTCCATCCTTGCTTACAGAGCAACCAGCAACTACACACCACAAAAACAGACTCCAACGTGAAACTGCAGAAGTGGAATTAATTTGCAAACTGGACACCACCAAATTAGGCCTGAATAAAGACTAGGTGTGGATGGGTCATTAGAAAAACTGATTCTACCGTACTAATTTCCCCCTACTGTTACTCACACCTTCTTGTCAACTGTTTGAAATGGGCCACCCTCATTACCACTACAAAAGTGATTTTTCCACCCTTCGTATTCTACTGTTAATTGAATTGTCTCATTAGACTGACCCCCTACTTGGTAAGGCAACTCCCATCTTTTCATGTACTCTGTGTGTGAGTATATATACCTGCTACTGTATTTTCCACTCCATGCATCTGATGAAGTGGGTTCTAGCCCACAAAAGCTTATGCCCAAATAAATTTGTTAGTCTCTAAGGTGCCACAATGACTTCTCATTGTTTTTATATACACACTGTACATCTGAGTAGGAAATTTTTTAAATTTCAATTAAGGGTTAAATTTTCAAAGTAATAATAAATCCCAACACATTTTAAAAAGTTTGGCATCTATTCCTGATTGGCTCTGTTTTAGTGACCTTTTGTTAAAGGAACTAGCAAATGACCAGTGTGGCCATATGAGTCCAGGAGTAGCAGCAGAAAGAACAACTTCCCAACCTCACCATACAAGGTATACAAATTATTCATACTTATACATGTGTATAATTATGTATGTGTGTGTTATATATACCATGGGGGGGAGGGAGGGCTGGGAGAGAGATAGAGACTTATGCACACAAACCAAAGGCCAAGAAAACAAAAGATCACAAGCAAATGTTGAGTCTTGCCTCCATGGGAGCCACAGGTGCACCACTGAAAAGTGCAGACAGGGGCATTTCAGAGTTGTGAGTTCAAAGGAGTGGGCCTGATGTCTACTCCTTTCTATACGGTACTGCTACATGACCAGCTGATCCAACTTCACCCTTTTTAGCTGAGATGCCTCAGCTCTTTCTTTAAAGCTTCAAATACTAATATTAAAGACCTTTCCTGGCTACTGCTGAACATTGTGAACAATTCTCTCTAGCTTCCTCATCTAACATGAGCAGCTTTGATGAACAAAGTTAGAAACGTGGTGCAGTATTTTTTTATGTCAGTCACATCAGGTGGCTGCTTGCCTGGCTCCACTTTACACTCTCCAAATATAATTGGATTGTGTTTTTAGGCTAAACGAATTTAGTGATGGTGATGAAAGGTGCCAGAGTGACAGCCCTGGAGACTGAAGTCCCATTTATCCATATAACGGATACTGTACAGAAAAGAATGAAAGCATGCACCGCCCCCTTCCCCCCCCCACCTCTTCCCCCCTAAGGAGTCTCAACACTGACTTAGAGGCACCACTACCAGGAGAGAATAAAGTCTCCATGTCCACTGTTAACAATACCAGCCATTTAGTGTCTGAAAGCACCTAGCACACACTGGGTTCTAGAAGAAACACATAATTACAACAATTTAGTAGTAAAATCTACTTCAGGGAAACCACATAACAGATAGCTTTGCCATCAAATCTGTGCGTCCCTCTGGACATTTTCCCTCTATCCCATAAGCCAGCGTTTCCCAAACTTGGGACACCGATTGTTCAGGGAAAGTCCCTGGCGGGCTCGGTGGGTTTGTTTACTGGACGCATCCACGAGTTCGGCCGATCGCAGCTCCCACTGGCCGCGGTTCGCTGTGCCCGAACAATGGGAACTGCTGGAAGTGGCGCAGGCTGAGGGACGTACTGGCCGCCACTTCCCACAGACCCCATTGGCCGGGCACAGCGAACCACGGCCAGTGGGAGCCAGGATCGGCAGAACCTGCGGACGCAGCAGGTAAACAAACTGGCCGGGCCCGCCAGGGGCTTTCCCTGAACAAGCGGTGTCCCAAGTTTGGGAAACACTGCCATAAGCCATACCACTTATCTGGCTAAGTTATTGTAGATCCAAATTTCCTTGCTTTTGTACATGTTACACTTCCATTACTACTATATTTTTTTAAAATATATATTCCATGATCTAAAGTCAAAAATAAATTTAACGTATGTCATTTAGGCCCTAATCCCGCAAAACATTTGTACATGTTTAACTACAAGCATGTCAGTAATCCCACTGATATTAAACACATTGGTAAATCATTACAGAATTGAGGTTTTATATGTTTCCAGATCAGAGTGTTACAACTTACAGTAAATATGGAACAACCCTCATTGTCAACACAATTTCTTGAAAAAATTAACTTTAGTTAAAATTTACAAGGGGAAAGTGTGGGGGGAACATCTGAAAGTTCTACTATAACCTGAATTTGAAATGTTCCATGACAAACCAACTCATGCTCCCCTCTCACACACTTAACCAAGCATGACCATACTTTTAGAAATATCTGCAGGCTGGCTAACATTTCTTCTTGGGATCCACATTAAAATGGTTAAATAGAAAAGGGAAGAGTTAACTGACAAGGAACATCAGCCTGAATGACAGCAGTGCTACCTGGCTGTGGTTTAATTACAATCTGTGTCATGCAGAAGACGCTCTTCTCCTTATGGAGAGATGAACTGCTGCCCCTGTGGCAGATAACCCACCATAATTTCTCAGCTGCTCATAAAATAAAAAGCACTGAAGGCATGCTGGCACCTCTCAGTTGGACATAACAGAAAGGATTATTTATGATATTAATATTTTGATCTCTAAAAGCAGGACATAAAACAATGATTATCCTTATATAGTTTTATACTAAAAACAAAAAAATGGTAATATGTCCACCTTTCAACAATATATGGCTTTTATGCAATACTGGAGTTTTAGATATTACATTATATCAAAAACGAACATCCATCTGTTGCCACTTCCTTTGAAACAGAGGACACAAAAGACTGATATTAAAGACACGTAAAAGCCATGTACTTTTATACAGGAAATGTGAGGTTTTGTATATTACAAAGTGATTCCTGCAGAATTGAAACAATTACAAATGGCTCAGAACTCACATTTTAAATAATGGTTGAAGTATTTTAGAAGAATAAAATGCTTATAGTGAATACCTACAATAACCTGCCTCTAAATTTTAGGTAATAATTCCACCATGCAAGTGTCTCAACTTGTTTTTTATTTCTCTATGATCTTCAGAGTCAATACATTTACTTTTCGATTTATACACCACATCCAAATTTAAAGCCACTAACTAGTCACTCTCGTAATTCCTGAATGAGAATATTTTCCTTCTCATGTTTTCTTCACAACCACACCCTCAAAGGGGTGAACTCTCACACATAACCAAAGCTTATTTTAAGGCTAGAAGGGACTATTATGATTGTCTAGTTTGACCTGCTGCAACACATGCTATGGCATCCTACCCAATAATTCCTGCATCAAGCCCCTCATTTCTATTTGAATTATAGCATCTCTTTTAGAAAGAGTAGAGAAGGTTTCTTAGATATATCCAGCACATTAAAAAGCCCCCCCGCCTCTTCTCCTCTGTGTGTGTGTTCAAGCACAGTTATAACATTAAAATCCTGGGGGCTTAATTTTACACTCTTCATTTGGATTCTTTTGTCTTCAAAATATTCCTATGCTGCATTCATTCAACAAAATGTTAATGCACTCTGCTACAAATTAATTGCCACCGATATATAGTTCAATTCTTTATTCTGTGTAAATATACATATC